ATATATATATATATATATATATATATATATATATCTATGAGTCCTATCATGGACGAACTTAGAAAAATAGAAAATAAATATTCGATGGAAAACTAAATGACCAAGTAAGTTTTTGGGGGTATTTTGATAATTTTTATCGGAAATATTTTTATTATTTTTATCATGTGCGTTCCTGTCAAATCTATGCATGTTCTAAGTTTTGTTTCAATATTATTTGTAGAATAAATAAAAAAAAAAAAATTATGAGCCATTTGATCAAGATTTGGCCATTGAGAACTAGCTCGTGACTTAAGTCATCGCAGCCATCTACGGCTGAAACCGGGGGTAACTAAACAATATTGATTGGTCGGGTCACGTAAAGGTTTGCCTCACTTCCAGGGTGTTCATTAGTAACACGCTTAGGGGAATTTGCACGTTCCAAAAGCACGGTTTACACGTTGCAAGCACTCAATTACGACGTCGTGCTGAATGGTAAAGGCTTTCATATAAGAACATGTTTCATGCGCGCTGGACGGCATTTGTACGATATGCAGTCAAGAAGTATAAAGCATCCGTGGTTCATCTAAACAACACTTCAAACAAACTAACGGTCCAAATGTTTTTTTAATAGAATTATTATTTTTTTGAAACGGTTCTCAATAGAATTATTGTTTTTAGTTTTTAAAATTTATTTATTCTTTTCGTATTCATAATTTCCATGTTTTAAATGTTATATATTCTCTAAATATTAAAATCAAATTATATTTAAAAAATATATTTATTATCAAGCCTGCATTTCTACATGTCCGGACTTAGCTAACCGTGCCCTTCATATAAAATACATGTGAGCATTACCATCATTGTACCTTAATTTCTTTTGTGTACATTTACCCTCGGGTGAAAACATTATTTAAGGGATTTTTTATCTGAAATTTTAGAATGCATCTAAAAATTACCAGATTATTTTCAAAAAAATAGATTTTTATTTAGTTTTTAAATACATTAGAGGGGTTTCTACTCAATTTTAAGACGCTTTTTTTTCCGTATTAATGAATCTGAATTCTATTGATAAGTGCCACAAAACACTGTTATGAATGAAAATTAAAACCCTAAATACAATTTAGGATTTTTCTTTTTATTGAAAAAATAAATAATACAATTTAGGAATAAAAAACAATCTTCTACTAACAAATAAAGTACAAATAATATTCCTAAAATCTCACAATGAGTATGAAAATATGATTAAAAAATAAAAATAAACTGTTGGGAAGACTTACTCATGTGCTAGGGTTACCCCACAGGTTTTGGTACATCCCACATCCAATTTTCTGAACGATTGATTCTATTGGCCTGGCTGAAATTTTAGAGCTGGAAAGCTTGTCTAGGAAATACCCCTCCCACTTGGGTTTTAGAAAACAGACGGATACAACTAGGATTTATGGCCTTAGGAATAAATTAGGGCATATCATCAGGGTATAAACCCTCTAGGCCTTTTTATTACTCTACACTCTATAAATAAAGGCTCGATAAGCCTTCGTGGTTGCTCATCGACTCGTGAAAATAGGTGTGCCACATTGGAGAGAGAGGGAAAAGAGAAGAACTTAATGGATGAGAGAGAAATTCTTGGGCATGGAGCAGTGAAAAACAACATGAGAGGGATAGGCTTTAATTGTGTGTTTAATGAGAAGGGGGTTCACCCCTTTATATAGTTCCCAACAACACCCCCCCCCCCCCCC